CCCCCACCCCACACACCAGGCCTTGTTACCACATAGCCTGCCACTACACACCCCCTGTTGTTAGTCACTAACAGTCCCCATTAACAACTATTCACCCTCCCAGCCTGATCGTTAGCAACTCCTTTGTCTGTCCAACTGTCTTTCTCTCTCTTTGGGTTCTATCCTATCGTTTACTCCCTACCCCACCCACCTCCCTATTTTCTGCATATAAACTGACATTTTCCCAGCCACCATCAGTTCTGAAGAAGGGTCACCGGACCCGAAACGTTAACTCTGTTTTCTCCTCCACAGATGCTGCCAGACTTGCTGAGCTTTTCCAGCAACTTTGTTTTTGTTCCTGATTTACAGCATCCACAGTTCTTTTGGATTTCATTTTGCATTAGGACACTATTTGAATGGGCCAGGACACACTGCAACACTCCAGAACTGCGCCGTGAAGAGGAAGAACACTTATACAAAATCCTCGCTTTAAACTGATAACCCCACAGCTTCATCCATCAATGCCTACAAAACAGACAACAACAGGAGGGACACAGTACGACCTAACACACTGACCACACTGCCCTACATCAAGAACATATCGGAACTGACAACAAGAATCCTAAGACCGCCAGGAATCATGGTGGCCCACAAGCCCACAGCCACTCTATGACTACACGCTCACAAGGATTAAAGACCCCATTCCCACAACGTGCAAAACCAACATGGTTCACAAAATACCATGCAACGACTACCACAAACATTACATCGGACAGACAGGAAGGAAACTAGCTATCAGAATACACGAACATCAGCTATCATCAAAACGGCATGATGAACTCTCCTTAATATCAGTACATGCAGACAATGAAGGCCATCAGTTTAACTGGGACAAAATAACCATAGTAGCCCAAGCCAAACATAGACACACACAGGAATTCCAAGAGGCATGGTTCTCCACCCATACTTCAATCAACAAACATATAGAATTGGACTCCATATATAAACCCATACAGATCAAAACCGGAAATGACAGTGCTCACCATAACGGACCGGACAGTATAAATTCCAAGCAGAGTAGAATAACATCGCTTCATCGGAGGCTCCACTGATGATGTCACATAGCATGGTGACGAAACGTCTGAACGAGAACAAGCCCAGCTCGGTGAGCAAATCAACCCTCTCACAGGGTCAGTGCTATAGCCTGGGCACTGCGATTTGGCAACATAACTGGCTTCCCCCAGTTACAGACCACACACATCACATCGACAGGGCCAGATCATAATGCTGCACCGTTCATCAGTAGAAAAGGATTCCATTTCATCAATGAGCAAGTGATCTGTGATCATTGGTTCCACTTCTGTGAGGTTTGTTCCCACTATTCTGGGAGCTGCCATGATGCCTGTATCATTGAGAACTCCTGTCTTTGAAGGTCTAAATGCCTTACAAGACTACTCACCGGGAGACAAGGACTAGCCTCCACTACCATGTCTGATGACTGCTTTGCACAACCCCATGACTGAGGCAGAGTATAGAGACATAGAGTCATAGGACTGTACAGAATGGAAACAGACCCTTCAGTCCAACTTGTCCATGCCCTCCGGATATCCTAAATTAATCGAGTACCATTTGCCAACATTTGGCCCATATCCCTCTCAACGTTTCCTAGTCATAAACCCATCCAGACACCTTTTAAATGTTGTAATTGTGCCCACCTCCACCACTTCCTCTGGCAGACCATTCTATGCACATCTGAAAAAAATTGCCCCTTTTAAATCTTTCCCCTCTCAGCTTAAACCTATGTCGTCTAGTTTGGACTATCCTACCCTGGGAAAAAGACCTTGGCTATTCACGCTATCCATGCCCCTCATGATTTTATAAACCTCTATAAGGTCACCCCTCAGCCTCCTACGCTCCAGGGAAAATAACCCCAGCCTATTCAACCTCTCCCTATAACTCAAACCCTCCAACCCTGGCAACATCCTTGTAACACAAGTAGACACAATGCAGCTCATTCTGGACCAGGACCATGGTGGAACTGACACTAGGCCTCCTGAAAATGAGGTTCTGTCTGCTTGCACTGGGGGAGGGCCTTACAGCACTGTCCAGAAAGAATGTGCCTATAACTGGAGCAAGCAAAGAGGGGTTGTTATTGATGCTGAGAAACTGTGAGACAGGGCGTAATCTTCTGAGGACATTGAGTAGGAGGAATATCACCTTCTGAGGCACAAATAGGTCTTAATTCACACTCAGCTCCAATAGGTGTGAGCTGGGTACAGTAATCACTCACTGACTGTAATTTTGTTGGTGTTTGTCATGGTAGTATGGTTTGTATGCTGGGAGAGTCATAGAATCCCAGTGTGAAAGCAGGTCATTCAGCCCATTGTGTCCACACTGATCCTCCAAAGAGCAAACCACCCAGATCCACTCTCCTACCCTGTCCCTGTAACGCTGCATTTCTGATGGCTAACCCACCTAGCCTGCACATCCCTGAACGCTATGGGTAATTTAGCATGGCTAATCCATCTAATCTGCTCATCTTTGAACTGTGGGAGGAAACCCACGCAGACACGGGGAGAACGTGCAAACACCACACAGACAGTTGCCCGAGGGTGGAATCGAACCTGGGCCCCTGGTGCTGTGAGGCAGCAGTGCTAACCACTGAGCCACCATGCCACTCCTCTGGCAAGAATGCAGCTTCAGTTTGTTTGATTTGTGTTGGGTTTTGGAGTTGGTGAATAAAGGTGAATATTTTGAACTGTCTATGATGGCCCCCCACTTAATGATGGTGAGACTCTGCAACCCAGTGGGTTATGTGGACAGAGGAACAGTGACTGACAGGGGATTGTCAGAGATGATGTGGCTAAGGCCCGGGCAGGTGTGTGGCCTGGTGATAAAACAGTGATCGGGGCAGGAATGAGTAAGGAAGTGCCAGTCATGCTGCTTCTGTACTGTGAGAGTGATCGGTTTAAGGCTGCGGTACCACAATGTTCACAGTAAAGGGAGCTCCAGACAGCCAGCAATTAACCAGATGCCCAGCTGGGAGTGGGTGGGGGTGTCAATGATGGTAGGAAATCCTGGGATCCCCCGGCAATGGGAAGTATTCCTGGCCATGGTGAGTAGGAGAATTGGGCTCACATCAGATGAGAGAGATCCACACAAGGGTGTGGTTGGTAGTTAATGAGCTGGGTTTGGGATGATCCCATGAAAAAACTCACTGGACCTCATGGACAAAACCGTCCATGAAACCTGATGAAAAAGTCACATCGCCAAAAATATAGGAAGATTCAGTCCACATTTTTTGTATGTCTCTTTGCCTCTCCAACAGTCTGTTTGACTGTCTCTCTCTCTCTCTCTCCCTGTCTCTCTAACTGTGTCTCCTGTCTCTGTCTCTCTGTCCTCCTCTCACTTTCTCTCTGTTCTGTGAGTCTTTCTCTTGATCCCATTCTCTTTCTATGTCAGTTTCTTCCTTTCTCGCCCACTCTGTTTCCTTGTTATCTTTTTCTTTCTGCCTCTATCACTTCATTTTACCCTGTCCATCTGTCTGTGTGTCTGTCTCACTCTGGGACTGTCTTTCTCAATCTCTATCTCTCTCTCTGTCTCTCTCTGTCTCACTCTCTCTGTCTCACTCTCTCTCTGA